CTGTCTCTTTAAATTTCGATGTCAATCTTGATATAATCAAGATACAATCAAGATGTTCTCTCCTAATCCTATCAATCCTGGTACAATCAAGATAAGCTTTCCCAAGATGGCGGCTCCTGGAACAGGGTAGGCATAAGCATAAGTTGAGCAGAATGACTTACGACGCCCTCGACCAGGGGTAATGGCGGCACAGTGGTGCTTGATGTCCAGGGCACAAGCTGTATGAAGAACTGGGTCCACAAAGATATCAGCTTTGCTTTCCTTCAGCATGTTTAATACTTCCTGGGAACGGAAGATCATTACAGAGACAGCCGTTAGAGAGCCAGTGTTGCATGGAACTACTTTAGAGTCAAACAAAAATATCAAGGAGAGAAGGCTGAAGGTGAAGAACAGATCATTCTGGGATCTGCAGCAATGTGGTAATGATGCACAGAATGCAGTAGCATCAATTTCATAAAAAACTATCTCTTGGAGATCTGGTGTATGTAAAGCTGTTTGCTAAGTAAAGCAGGGGATAAAAAGATGAGACCATCTCTACCCTTTAGTGATTGTAAGATCTGATTTTGGTTTCTGGCAATTGGTAAGCCGCCACATTATTTTAAATAACCTAAGTGTTAGTATTTTTAGTGGTACAGTACTGTTATCTTGTTATATACAAAGTTATGTTGTTGTTGTTAAGAGCTGTTGAATCAGTTCTGACTCACAGCGATTCTATATAGGGTTTCCAAGGAGCAGCTGGTGAGTTTGAACTACAAACCTTTCAATTCAAACTACTGTGCGGTCCAGTGCATTACCCCTCAGGGCCACACTAAGACTCCTATACAAAAGTGTATGTGCTTAAAATCATTTACTCTATTACGGTTATGCTCAAAAGGAATAGAACACTGACTGTAAGAAAAATTCTTTTTTGAGGCTTACAGATTTTCTGAATAAAAGCACCTACAGGATGAAAGTAAAGTAAATGAAGCTTTCTTCAACAAAGATCAGAGCTTGTACTCAATAGGAGGGTTGGAGTCCTTGCAAAACAACAGTAACAAAACCAAAACCTGAACTACATACAGTGCCCAAAAGTTTTCCTCCAAGACAGAAGCAACTGTGCAATAATAAAGGAGCCAAAGGAAAATACCTTGATTTAGTTTTTAACCAAGGCCCCCATTGTCCAGATTACATGGATTCAGACCCTTGTTTTTGCAGCTGAAAATTCTGTAAACTACATTCTCATTTTAACAATGCTGTCATTGAACACTTTTTTTTTTTAAAAAAAGATATCATTAAAAGTTTTATAGGATAATTTGTGCTTAGCAGTCATTTTCTATAAATCTGTTTATTTATTGCTTCTGAAATGAACTGAAATTTTAGTTTCATTGATTTTTATGAATGTTAAACACTTACTGTTATATTGGTATTGACATTTTACTCTGAATTTCCATTGAGAGTGCCATTAAAAATAGGGATGAAATACATTCACACATCTTAGAACATGTGAATGAACTGTAGTAAAGTAGAATTTTAATATTCAAGTTAAAGGAGATTAATAGTCAAGGGCTAAATTAAAGTTTGATAGGAAGGAACAGTATAGTATTCTGTGAAGGAAGGTTTTAGATGTTAAAATTAAAGCTCAAAGACGATAGCATTATAGAGCAGAAGATAACGAGGAAAAGGAAGGACATGGGTGGAATAGGGTGATGGTAGTTACCTTTTTACACATTTCCGTTTTGATTTTGAGCAAGTTAACTTTGAGGCACTCTTCCACTTGACCTGTCTGCTCTTGGGCTGCTGCTTCCTCGGCACAAAGACTAGAGATCTGTTCAGGAGACAAGCACAAAACAAGGCCATCTACTCTGCACAAGGAATGAGCCAACAAATCAGTGCAGTGTGTGTGTTGCCTCATGATGGCCCTCTGCTGCTTCCTAAATGAGGGACAGCCTACCATCACCAGGAATCATGGTCGCTGAGATTGATCAATGTGGTGGCCCTGTGGTGGCCCTCATTCACAGGTCGCTGTGATCCTCACCCAGCTGCCGGCTCTTCGCAAACACAGTGCTGGTAGATTTCACTCCCCTCCCCCTTGTACTAGATGTTAGCTCTGTTCCCCTTCACAATGGCTGGCACAGAGTCAAAAATCAATACGTGCATGTATCATTATGCTCACTACTCTGAGATTTGAGTCAGACTGTCCCAGGGCTTGTCACAATGACGGAAGGTTAGACAGCCAAGTAAAATACTAAAAGCAAAGACTTGCCATTTTATAGAGGCCAAAGGTCGACACACACATAAACACATGGGTGCTGAAACAGCCCATGTGAAGATAAAATGTTTAAATTTCTTTGGATAGTTGTGAATAAGCTTTTTAAAGATATTTTTCGCTATGGACCCTTATGTACAGGGCTTGCTACATGTTCTTTTCTGGCCCGTTAGTTGCGGCTTAGAGCTGTCAAGTTGGTGCTACCTCATAGTGACTCTGTATAGGGTTTCTGAGGCTTTAAATCTTCTCGGGAGCAGATAGCCTCATTTTTCTCCCATGGAGCGAATGGTGGGCTCAAACCACAGACCTTGTGGTTTACAATTCAGTGCTTATTGTATAGAACTACTGTACTTCCTTTTCTCTAGCTAGAAGTCTAATAATTTCCAAAGATAGGTATTTCTTTGGAGCTATTATGAGAGAACTTTTATCTTTCTGGTAAGTCATAAGGTGTCCTGGGCCGACTATGATGAATACTCATAAAGAAAAAACAAATTATATCAAGATTAAAAAAACTATGTTTGATAAAGGAAACAAGTGTAAATTGCTGCAGTTTGATGAACGTGACCTATACTTATGGATGTAGTAGCTCAAAATACCACCTGAGATGGAAGTCTTCACTTCAAGTATTAATGCTATCCCCTCTGTATACAGGGTAGATAGGGACAGGCAACTTAAATACTGGCTACCTAAAATGAGGGGGTGAGAAAAGCACGAAGTGGACTGGCTTACAAGTTTTCAAGAGGGAGTTTATTTTCAGAGTGTGTGGGGGAGACAGAGTACCACTAAATAGTTTTCATCTTGATCTAGTGAAAAGAGATGGGGATAAGATTCTTATGATCCAATAGTGAGTAATTGTTATCGTGACTAATTGTGACTGTCACAACTGTAAAGGTACAAGTTTTGTAACAAAAATGGGGGAGTAGTTAATATGAGTACATAAACAGAGGACTCTAGGACCATCAAGGCAGAAGAGCACAAGTGGAATGTGAGACCCTATCCAGAGAAGCAGCAACAACAGAGATGGAGGCAGAGATGGGGACATGGAGAGAGGGAGCAGCTGAGGATTCTGGAATCAGGGAAAGAGAGGGACTGAGTGCTGACAGCCAGGAGGCAGGCTTGCAGAAGTGCCCTTTGGTTGTTTAAATGATTATACATGCCTGAGTATTTTTGTGTACATTCCCTCCTCCAGCCCCACTCTGAAAAAACAACAACAACCAAAAACAGAGGGAATGGAATCAAATACAGGTGATTGATGATGCATGGAGGAGACTGTAATCATTACAATGAAACGATGGTGTAAAGCTGATGTTCTCCCATGTAACTACCACTCAGAGCGCACAATAAAAAACAACAACAACAAAAAAAACCTAAATTATTATCCTGATAGATATGAAGAAAGAATATCCTGTTCAAAACAGAAATGCGGAAACAGTTGTGTGGTGACAGGAGTAGAATCAAGTCTAATTCTGTTTTGCAGAGAACCAGGAACTAAGACAATGGAGACACTAGAAGCTGGGCTTTCAGCTCACCATCGAGTCAGGGCTAATGGGAAAGAAATTATGATAAAGAATTCTTCCACAGCAGGTTCTCTGACCAGCTCTGTTCACAGCCCACATCCTACCTACCTCTTCTGAGCAGTGCAGCTGGAGCTGGGGGTCTAGTCGGTAATCCAGAGCTGACTCCTGGATAATAATCTGGATCTGGTCCTCACAGTCTGAAGACAGGCGCTACATGTGAGAAGAGGAACAGACCCCAGCCTATTAGAAAATGTCAGCTTTTGGGAAAGGTAAGAGAACTGTCTTGGGAAAGAAGGCGCAAGCTGGGGCTTCAAAATAGAAAACTCCCAGGGGCACTGCATACACCACTGTGGAGCCGGTTTACCTGGTCGGCATATCTCAGCTTGAGGCAAGAGATGACTTGACCTTCTAGCTCCGAATCATCCTTGGCCTTAGTCAAGATTCCATGACAGAATTTAGGAATATCAGCTTTACAGGCTTTCCTTAGCACAGGGTTTAAGCGATAATCTAGAGCAGGTAAATATGTGATAAATTATTCCACCTAGACTAACAAATTTTTTGAGTCACCTTCCAGAAAGGGGCACATTATGTACATGACCATGACAACAACCACTGCCTGGTTTACTCAGTGATACTCCCTGAGCTCTCATTACGCTGCATTTAATCAGCAATGTGTTTTTGTGTAAGGGTAGAGCTAGAATTCCCTGGGGAGGTCTCTATCTGTACCTAGCAGTTCTACAGGATCTTGTGGTCCTAATCAAAACAATCCGCACAGAAATCAAGAAGGCATCAGCAACCTTCTCCCCAACAGATCAATTTGAAAATATTGAACAGATCTTGCCCAGTAAATGACAAGGTCTGGCAACTCAGACCCATATTTCTTTTTCTAGAATGATAACCCACAAATTCTCCATCTACAGGCATGAAGTTTTATAACTCTCTAGGCATTTTTTGGCAGGGGACACTAACTCTGATTCCTTTGGTAGGCCCTTCAAGGGTGTTTTCTAGCTTCTTCCTTCCCATGGCTTTCGTTCCATTTGGCTAGATCCTCTTCAAAGAAGGAGTCAGCCATTTTGTTTACGTGTAATTAAGCATCGGCAGCTTAATTAGATAACTCTGTAACTACCCTAGTCCATTTCAGTTGTATACTTAGTGGGACCAAGAAAGCCAAGTTACCTGTGTTCTGTGTGATCTGGCGCTTGGTAATCATCTGTTTGCATTTGGGATCCATCAGTTCACTATTTTTATTTTGCTTTAAGCACTGTAGCATGGTTTTAGAGTCTGCTTCAGGACAGAACCTCTGCAAAGAAACAAAATTTTATAATACAATTTATCTAATCTAAATATGGCAGTTAGCACCATTTGTGGTCACTCTTACATCTACTTCAAAAACTTATGAAGGAAGCAGCCGGAAGGTATTACCGTTGTTAAGTGCTGAAGAGTCGATTCCAACTTATAGCAACCCTGTACAGAGTTTCCAAGGAGCAGATGGTGAGTTTGAACAGCCAATCTTTCAGTTTAAACTGACCTTGCAGTTGAATATTTATCCTACAGTGCCACACCGGGACTCCAAAGTATCACTAGTACCAGAGAATTGGTTAAGACTGAATAAGCACCTGGTCTCAAGTTTGTTTGTTTTTTTATAAAAAAAAACCTGTTCTCTACTACATTTCTCTCCACTAGCTTACTGTTTGCTCCTTTGCACAGGATTGCACTGCACCTCTACATACATGGCTTTGGTAAACTACATAGCATCTTATGAGCTAAGTATTAAGCATGAGTATACCACTATACCAGGTGACCACGTAGCTCTCAAGACACTTCTACAACCCCAGCAGGGACACCTGACAAATGTGGAGTAAGGGCCCAGAGTCTGGTTCATCTAGTAAGTCTGGGGACTATATAATCCTACCAAACCCCATAGGGCTAAGCCCTTGTCCACTTATTATTATCCTGTAAGTCCAAGATCCATTTCATAAAAGGACTGAAACTCACCTCTACCTAGTAAATCTCAAGTCTTTAAATGTCACAGCATCTGCTGTATTCTAGGAGAGACTCTCAAGCACCAATCCTCCCTTACTAGTGGCTCCATGTCCAGTTCTCGAAAGTGTAAACGATGATCACTTATTGAAATTTTAATATGGGAACGTGGACTGTCTGATTTTTAGAATATCCATCACATTTTTACAGAGCTCTCTCAAATCAGTTCCTGACATTTCTGAGAACAGAGTGTCTGCTCTCCTCCCCAAATTTCTGATTCAGTAGGTCTGAGAAAGGACCCAAGAATTGTAGGTGATGTCGATGATGCTGGTCTAGGGACTATAGAATGAGAAACACTGTAATTAACTGTATAAAAGTGGCTCAAATTTAAAAAAAAAAAAAAATCTTCAAAATTTATTTTATAAGGTGAAAGTAGCATTTTGTTTTAAAGGAAAGCTGAAATAAGAGGTGAGGACCTTAGCTTTCTCTGTGTATGTGTGGATAGATCATAGAAATTCAATCTAAGTACTCAATTCAGCCCTGACGCTGAAGAATATTCACTGGAAGAATAAATGAAACAAAACCTGTAGGATACAAAGAGAGAGTCAGGACATTCAGTAGGGGTATTCTCAGTATACCTACCATGAACCTCCCTCAAAACCAATCTTACTTTTATAGGGCAAAGCAGGGCTTCAAACCGGTTCATTCTGGTTCACACCCCTGTAGATAGTCTGCATTTCCATTCTAGATACACAAGATCAGAATCTACAGTTTAATAAGATCCCCAGGGGAGTCTTATACAAATAAGAATCACCTGGGGCTCTTGTTAAAATGTTGATTCTGAGTCAGTATATCTTTACCCCAGAGGAGGTGGGTAAAGGAGAATAAAAAGGCTTGCAATTAGAAGATTATATAAATATTCTCTGAAATTTAAATACCTCTATGTTGTGGTTGTCATTTTACTTACTTTCTTAGGGATTGTTTTGGACCCCTCACCTTTATCATTTGTTTGCAGACTCTCATGAGTGTATAGTCTAGTTCTGGGTCCATCATCTCAGTCTCTTGTAGCTTAAATACTTTCTGATGGCAACGGGTAGTTAGCTGCTTCTTGTTTTCTTTCAGACATTCAATAATCTATGGCATAAAAATTATGGCCAAGTTGAGGGATGTGTGAGGGATTTTCTGATTTTGAAGTATTGTGTTTTCTTAGTGCCCCCCCCCCATCACCACCAACCCCACCACACCCATCTCCTGCCCCATTTCTCTACCCACGTAACTTTCATTTCTAATCCCCAGGCAATGGGAATCACTTACAAAGGAGAGTTACACTTATAAACCTACAAGCTTAGGGCTAAAAACAAGCCAAACTGTATACAAAATTAAGGATGACTAGCAGACTATATTGGAGTCCAAATGGAAGGTACAGCCACTTGGGACTCCTGGTTTCTTCTGCCCTCTAGAGCTGCTTTCTCTCCAAGATCCCCTCTGGAGCATCCACTAGGCTCCCTGCACATGAATGGAGCCAGAACTCTGACTAGACAGTAGGCGCAATCCAATTCACTGAGTACTGATCATTTACCACAGGAAAGTAGACTGTGGTAGATGCCATGAGTGAGACCCAACCCTTACCCTTGACAAGCACAAAGTTTCATTGTGCAAACTTCTATAACTGAATAGTTAACAGTAAAAATACAAGTGCTTCCCCCCCACACAGAGTGGACAGAGAAGGGCAGGTTGGACATTGGATACTCAAATGGGAAGAGG